TTTGCATGACCCTCCCCCTTTTAACGGCAGATTTTTCATAACCCCTCCCTTTTCGGAGTCTCAAAAAGTTGTGACCCTCCCTCTGTTTCCTCCCCCCCCCCTCCCCCCTGCTAATTTCTGACAAGTCCCTTACTATTTCCTCTTTTTAATTTTGTCATCACCTTTTTACTCGAAGGAGATAGAACAAATCAACACCGTAAGCCATGAGAAAAAAGTGGTATGTGTCGAATTAACAGAGAAGCATTTACAACAATTTGCACTATGCGGAATTAGATCGAAGCCAATCGATTAAAAAACCTTCAATTATTTTCAGATAGCAAATGCGTTCGTTGACGTCACTTGATCATGAACTGGGATTTAGCCTTTTAATTCCCAGAAGTAGTAAAAGTACACAATTCGACACAATTTTCAAATTTAATATTTTAAAATGCTGATATTAAGAATAACGAATAGCACTATGTGTCACACCATAGGATTTCATCCGCAGACTCAAAAATCTAGAACCACGTCAGAAGCCCTCATCATTCACTCTGGAAGTGAAAGGGTTAATGCTGTACTACAGCGGGTATGTGCGAACGTGACGCGAAACCCGATTACAATATATCTGTGTAAAATATCGAACACCGAACGCAGTGTTTTAACACATATTAAACACAGAATGCTGAATTATTTCACGAAGCGCACTGGATTATTTTTTACGAGCTTCGAGGTATTTGAAAGTGTGACAAAACACAGTGATGAGTTGCTCGTCAGATGTACAGTCATGACATGGTGCATGTAAGGCCTCCTTTATCCCTACCTTTGAACTTGTTAGATTCTATTTTATAACATCACAAACGAGTGATATTTTTAACTTGGGGCTGTAATTTGCTATTTCTTTCATTGTGCTTCCTGAATAAGCAAGTTACCAGCATGAACAAGAAAAATGGGCATCATTTCAACTGGGACCTTTGCTACATTGAACAGGGGCACCCAACGAGAATATAGTACAAAACCACTTAAACATAGCATTGTTAAACGTATTTTAGTATTTAAACGGTAGATATAGGCATATTTTATCCCCTAAAAAGTTTTCATCTGATCGGATTTCCCAGCTGAATGTCTAGTGATGCGAAAATTATAGGGATCAAAACTTACCTTTTCGAAAATTTCAGTCCGAAAAAAGGCTCCCGAAAATTCTAGGTGACCTTAAATGGGTAATTATACCATTTTTTAGAAGTTCGAAAATCCTAGGAGAGGCAAGCAAGCAGGAAATTTTACAACAAATGTTAAGAAAATTCTAGATCTCAAATTGTCTTCCGAACAGATATTTTCCGAAAATTGACGTTGGGTGCCCTTGATTGAATCGCCGAGAGTCTCCGATTCTAGATTACACGCCGTGGATTCCGCGGATTCCAGGTACTGGATTCCAGTCTTTGTCAGTGGGTTTTTCTGGATTCTAATCAGTAGTGGGATTGTGGATACCTTGAGCTGTATTCAGGAATCCACATCCCAGGATTCCGGATTAGACAACAAAATTTTCCCAGGATTCTGGATTCCCCAAGCAAAAATTTCCCGTATTGTGGAATCCGGATTCCTTTACCAGTGGCGACTTCTGAATTTTCTGTCATGCGTCCTAAACAACAAAACGACGGAAGTAGTAAGCGATTCAGCTCTGCGACAGAACTGAATCAGCATTTGTAGATAGACAAGTAGATACGTGAAGAATTGAACTGATGAATCTCGTGCATACCAGTGATCAGCTTAAGTTTTTAGGGGATCGGATTAAATTTATTAATCTTTCCTGTTTCTTTCAACTAATAAAGCCCCTCATTTAACAATAACGCTTGGTATTAGAGCGGAAATTCCCTACTTACTTTTTAAAAAAAGTCTTGAAAATCTGAAAACTGGGAAATCGGAGATTTTCAGCTTAGAATTTTAGGCGATAGGATGAAAATTATTGTAATTCTTGCTGTTTCTTTCAACTGATAAAGCTCCTCGTTTGCATGGTCTTGTAAACAATTGCATCGAGCAAAAAATTCAGCAACAGTAAATGAAAAGAAAAAAAACAGCGTTTTCAATCATTCAAAGTATTTTCTTGCCTTAAAAAAATATTGAACCCTAAGATTTTTTTCGACTTTTGAAAGGTCGTTTTCTAAAAAAAGACACCGAGCTCACAAATGTGAAGATCACTGAGTGTGTATATACTAATAGCTCATATACCATGATAGCTATGACATGTAGCTAATATATTTGTTTGAAATGTGGGGAATCCAGTTATTTTGCCAAAGTAATTGTGAAAATGATTCAGCCGGGTGTGTTTATACTTCAGCATTTCCAGGGAAAATCCCGCTCACACGCCAGACAAGTCGCACGTTCACCCGCTCTTGTGTGAACTTGAATGGACCAATCAGATACACGGTTATTGTTGTTGTTGTTGTTGTTTTAAGAAAACTAAATCAGAGAAAGTCCTGTTCCAGTGTTCCCCTGAGCTCTTCCCTCCTTGGCCGTCATGCGTCGAAGAGCTCTGGGGTCGAGATTGAAGATTAACTGATTAAAGGGAGTTCACCGTAAGGGTTAAGATTAAACCCTTCACTTTCTGACATTTCAGTAACCTGCGTAGCTAGTAGGGGTTGGTCACGCGTTCCTGTTCCACATTCGTTCGTGAGGATTGCGTGACTAGCCAAAAGAGGCTGGCGGGATTGTAATTTTCTTTATGCTCAGGGCACTCTTTTTGCGGAAAAGTCGCAAGGAGCAGCGAGGAAAAATTCAGTTTGTGTTGCTTCCCAACTTCTTGCGGCTCTGCAGCCAGAAAAACAAGAGCCGCTCCCCGCATCGACAAATCCTGCTTCTACGCTGGCAAACCACGACTTGGGTATCCTGTGGTGTTTGTTTGTCGGGTCCTTGTCAAGGCGGGTATTCATTGACCCCCCTCTACGGCTAGCATTATTTCCTGTGCGAATTGTTGAAGCTGGGAGTACGGAAGTCCTTCTCCTCCGGTTTTGTCGGGCGAAGTTAATAGAGCGTTTTACCTTTCGCAGCTCGTGGGAACTTCAAACTCTTGCCTTCTGTTGTTCCTGGCAGCAGACAGGCCTCAAGGGTGAGTAGTCTTACGATCAGAGCGTTCCGCTTGTAACGGATACATCAACAAGACCCTGTCTTGTCAAGTGGTCAGTGATCTGATCTTGCTCATTTTATGCTTGCTCGCTTTTTTCTCGATAATTCTACTGATTTAAGCAGTCAAAGGTTCGTTTAAATTCTGGTGAAAGTAAAAGCGTAAGCATCTTATTTCAGGGAGAAAGAGAACTTTTGTTTTAGGTACTTCCGTGTATAGTATAAATGCTTAACTGCAAATCCAAAAACCGTCAGATCGATCGAATACATTAGGATTAAAAGGGATTATGGCTGGAGTGAACATCGATGTACGCTTATTGAGTCTACCAACTCCCAGTAATTTCTCAGTGGTTTTAGGTTCTAGCTCGTAGAACACTTTGCTTTTAGGTACATTTTAATATTATCAGACACACCAAATCATGCTTATTATAATATCCGTCATCAATTTCATGTCAATATTCCTCTCCTCGATTCCTAAGCAACAGTCAGCAGTGGACTGTTTTATCAGTTATGCCGAGACAAGTAAGTGATTTTTCAGTATAAAGCTAACTTGCTAAGAAAAAATTGTTGAATTTAATACAGTTTGCCTTTTTTTTTGTATTTCCTAAAGGTTGTTACCTCAGAGTGCCAAATGCCTCAATATGTCCATCAACCACCAGCAGGTTTGTAACCCAAATTTGCTCATGATCCCTTACTTGCCAGCTACAATTAATTATGATGTAAATGTTTATCTTCCAAGTACAAAACTGAAAGTTTTCAGTTCGTTTGTACTGAAAACTGTTACCTGGACTAACTTGTACTTTTGACACGCTCAAAGTAGTACAGCGGAACACCGTTAATATGGCCACTATTGGGCCCAAAAAAATTGGCCTTATTAACAAGGGTTTTTTTACAAGAAAATATATGGCGGTTTTTGCCAGGCAGCCAAAAAAAGTGGCCTTAAGGCGAATTTCCACTGTAGTATTTTGAGTTTCAGGATTTCATAACTGAAGTATTAACAGTTGGCGTTTAGAGATCCTGCTACAAGATCAGGATACAACAAATGCCGTCACTGGTAGTTTCTCTTCTGTCAAATTGTCAATTCCCAGAAACTTTGTGGCTTTATTAAACCATGCATGAAAGCACTAAATTTTAACGTGTTGACTAAAATGATGTTTCTTGGAAAATAGTAGCGCAGCTACTGATTTCGTAGCAAAGAAGTAACTTCTTGATATTTTTGGGGGAGAATCTTGTAAATTACACCCTATGTTCAGGGTTGTCACCAAGATTTCAAGCTTCTCGTTAAAACAACAAGTAGGTGGGGAGTCAAACAGGTATATGGGACTTTCTGTTGGTTCTGTTTTTCTTCTATTTTTTTGTGAAAGTACATGTAGCAGAAGGTCAACTTCAAAGTAACTGGGGGAAATCCCTGTCCCTAATGATAGCACTGGGCCCAGGTGTTCAAAGGCTGATTAGCGCTAACTCAGGTTAAAGTTTTTGCCCTGGTTTCTTTTTCTTTTGTTCAAATGCATTTTCCCGGGTGATTTTTTCTATTCTTTTTAGAGCATGCAATCATCAAATTGTAGACAAAAAGAATAAAACTGAATTTGATTTGTGAGCTTTCATATCTGAATTCAAATTTTGAGTTAACCCTGTGTTATCTTAACCCTGCTTTGAACAACCCAGCCCAGAATATTAGCTTAAAGCTCACAGAGTATTCAAGGAGCCACAGAAAGCTTAAAGCTGGTTTTTGTTAGCAGTTGAGTCATATGTGGAATCCAAAGACTACCTTATTTTTATGTACAATGTTGTAAAAATCAAAACTTGGAGTCATAATTATAAGTGAAGTTATAAGCTCGATGGAATCAGGGTTGGTAGAATCAAACATTTCCATTTTCTTCTGATTGCATTTATGATTCTATTTCTTATGATCTAGTGAAAACCTGAATGTCAGAGTCAGCAACAGAAGTGTAAGAATAAACCGATTACAAAACTTTTTCCCCCACTTAATGATTGGTTTGATTCTTCCACTTCTGCTTACAACTCTGACAACCTAGTTTTCACTAAATTAATGTAAGTTACCAGTTGCGTCTTGGTTTCTGTACGTGACATGATTCACATCTTACAAGAGGTTGGTAACTTACTTTTGCGCAGTATTGTAAGTATTGAACCTTGTTTAACAGGCAAACCTGAGGCTTATAGGAGAGGCCACCTGTAACATTGTCATTTGCAGCTTAGGTTTAGATAGTAAAATATTAAATTACCATCAGTCTGTCACATAAGGGTATCAGCTGTACTTTGTGTGTGTGCCAATAGCACTTTCCACTATTACTAAAAATAGGTCTTGTGCCCCCGGCATGACTCAGACAAATTTTGCATTCTGCTTGTACTCAAAGGCTTTGTATAGACAACATGCATTTCTGACATGAATAAAATTCACAGTGAATGTTTTTTAACTGTTCTCTCAGCTTTATTTTAATATTTGCATGGGTAATAGGGAGTAAAACCTGTTCCAAGTAACTCAAATAAACAGCTAAAATCAGAAAATAAACAGACCTGGTCAAATTAGATCCATAGCCCTGCAGCCTTAGTCAGATAGCACTGAAACATGACATAACATTTCTGACTGTGTTATCATCCAAAACCACAGATGCTAAATCGAAAATCAAGTTTGTATGTGTTTTTCGCAAGCCTGTGGCAGTATTTCTGAGCTGTAAAGCGCACCAACATAAGCACAAACTGGAAATTGTATAAGTTTAAAATGGTTGTTATGTGCAGCCATACAGTTTTTTATATCCTACAGTAGTGTAATACCTAGCGTTGCCTTTGCACTCAAAAATTAATAAAAATGAGCATCCTTTACTTTTAATTTTAACCAAACTACATTTTTATGAACAGCTTTGGTGCCCTACTCAGTTTGTACATTATTTTCTTAGTGAAACACCATAACTTACCATAAGGGTAAAGACACTGTATTAGGAATAAGATCACTCATCTGTACAGTTATGTCCATATTTAACATAGTCTTAGCACACGTTAATTATTTTCAGGATATTTAATCATTTCCAAGCTGGATTTTACTTCTTTTGACAATTTGAAAAATCTTCAAAGATGATGTAAATTTGCAGGTAAACATACCGTGCGAGCAGTGGTTTCTCTAGGCTGGACACTAGCGTCCGGCGTGGAGAAACCACTGCACGCCGAGTAAGGTGAACACAACTTTCCCATAGAAAATTTGATCAGGTTCAATGTCTAAGTCACAGTAGGGACCAGAAATTTGTGACATCATTAGTGCAAAATGCTTTTTAATGTTGCACTGAGCCTTTCTTATCTACATGTAGCATGCAACATAATAGATACTGAATACTAAATGTGTTTGCATAGGATACACCATGGCCAACAGGAACTGAAGTGGTTGGAAAGTATGAATTTAGAGGGCGAACACGTGAGGTAGGTTTATCAATGGAAATCCAAATCTTTGATGCAGAGTGGAGCCTCAGTAATTAACCCTGTTATCCCTATAAATTTTCAACAGAAGTAGTGGGGAGAATTTGATGAAGTGTCAATTAGATTCATCTTGTGTGATCGTATCCTTAATTCTCATGACCACTCTGTTTTATAAAGCAGTGATATTACAAGGAGGAATTTCATGCTGATCATTCTTATGGCTTAAAGGGTTAAAATAAACAACTATAGAAGGAGCAACTCGGTGAAACAAATGACAACCTTTGTCCCAATTGTTCAAAATGTGGATGGGGCTATACACGGAAAAAATCTCTATCCAGTGGATAGTGCAATAAGTTTGCCTAATTCTTATCCGCTGGGTGGGGTTGCTTCCTTGTTTTTTAAGTTTATGACTTAGTTAGAGGATTACTTGCCAGGCCCCTGCTCATTGGGCAAGGGAGCATAAAAGGTTACTTGCCAGGCCCCTGCTCATTGGGCAAGGGAGCGTAAAAGGTTACTTGCCAGGCCCCTGCTCATTGGGCAAGGGAGCGTAAAAGGTTACTTGCCAGACGGTAAAATCTTCTCGTTTTAGACATTTATGCAACAGAACTTTTTTGAAGCCCTGATTAGTCCATGGCAACTGATTTTTGCCAGCCAGTGGTGTTTTTCACATGTGATTTCTATCTGTTCTTTAATATGACAGTGTGTAATGTGAATGTGATGTGTTAAAATTTCTCTCACTAGGATCTTCCATTCAGGAAGGGTGAAATATTGCTTATTGAGAGCGTTACTCGGGTAAGTTGCATTGTCAAGAGTACCAACACTTGTACAATTTATAATAATATTATTGCGGGCAACAAGCAGAGCCCACAATTCTAATCTTCAGGTTGATATTACGCTTGCTTGGTATGTACATAGCCTCTCTTAATTTGGACTTTCATTAAGAATGAATGGACTATATCACATGAAACGTATACAAAGCACCAGGGTAAGAGCAAAAGGGTTTTGACATTCAAACAGAAGCTTGAAACTCGCCTGCACTCTCTTACCTCTGGTTATTACCAGTTATAACCTGTTTCACTGTAAAATGTACTAACTGAACACATCAGGTAATAAAAGAAATGCTATGAAAATTTCCAAATAAGTGCGTACCATCTGGTGTATAGGTACTGGTTAATTACCTTAACCCATACATACACATGTAAATGGTAGAAAAACAGGCAGACAAAGCTTAGAGAGATAACTTTGATGACCTTGGGCTGAATTTTGTTGGCTTACTGATTTGACTAATGATTTCTCTCCAGGACCCTAACTGGTACAGAGCAAAAAACGCTAAAGGACAGAGAGGAATGATTCCGTATAACTATGTTAAAGAGAAATTAGCTAAGGGAGCTGTGAAGCTGGATGCAATGCCGTAAGTCTGGCATCATTTCTTCTAATTTATAGTACAGTGTACCTTGCCCAGGTGAAGTTGATATATTGCTTAAACATTCTTTATTAATATTTTAGTAGTATTTGACACCGAACATTGTTTCAGGCAAAAGTTCATTTGTATGTGGTCCTGATTTCAGACCTTAATGGGCAGAGCTTACTTGTTTTCAGACCAAAACAGCTCAAAACTACTCCTTTTGAAGTGGAACATAGTTTATTAGGTTATATATGTGAAAATATCCCCCCGTGTGTCTATCTAAGGCAGCTTTTCTTTTGAATGTTTGGTGTCAGACGGACAATCTGTCTCTAATCTAATAAGAACAGCCATCAGTAAGTTCATGTGAAGCTCTATGTGCACTGTGAGGCGGATTTCTGTCTTATACATGAGTGGACTGAGAGTTGGCTGTGTGGAGTTCAAGAGAATTTTTTGTGAGAGACTTTCTAACAACTTACAGCAAATTATTCTTGTGTAAAATTTCAGGTGGTTTCATGGCAAGATCTCACGAGATCAGGCTGAACAACTGTTAGAGCCAGAGCATAAAAAGGGATTGTTTTTGGTCCGAGAAAGCCAGAATTTTCAAGGAGACTACACCCTTTCTGTTTGGTATGGTTTAAGTAACAGTTACTAGTCACTGTTTATCATGAGGGGCATGAACATTATTGTTAAAGCAACCACCCGGTTACGGGTGGCTCAGGGGTGAATGGGTTAAATCACTTACCGCCAAGAATCTTTAAAAACAAATTATTCAAAACTTTCAAGCCTCATTTGGTAAAATTCTGTAGAGTGAGATTTCATCTAAAGCTGAAGACCAGCAGCTCATTGGCACCTACCTTGTAGAATAAAGACAAGCAAAATTGTTACTGGTTGAAAGTGCTACCAAAGAGGTTTCTTTACACCAAAAGACTTTGGTAGTACTTGATAGGGCTGCAATGATACATTTTCTCACAATACAATACATATCTCGATACAGGTGCCACGACACGATACACAAAACGATACTTCATGCCGGTTCTAATTCAGCTTTTCCACAACATGAGAAGACATTTTCCAACAAACAGCGTATTTTACCTGTAGGAACGCAAGACTGTGTCAGCTGGCAAATAAATTGAACCTACGCAATGTATGCATGCATTTGTGTTGCCATCTTGAAAAATACATCTTGGATCGGAAGGATGCAAAGCTATACATAGCAAGGATTGGAACTCACTTGTCCCTTTCTTTAATAAATAGCTATAGAAGAGTTTGGACTTGCGTAAGGAGTCATTAAACACAGTGAAGGGTTATAATATCATGATATCGTGATATGTTGTTCAAATATCAAAATTCGTATCGTGGCAAAAAATATCGTGGCTCACCAGTCAGGGTGCAAAGAAAGTAATTTTTACAGCCTGCCATTCTGGCAAGCTGTAGCTAGCATGTACTAGCCCACAAGTCATTTCAACTAGCCCTAAAACTCTTTTTGATTAGCTGGATTGATTACACTCCTTGTGTAATTTGAATTTCCCCCAAAAACAGAACTTGCCCATCAGGCAAGTTAAGAACAAAAATCACTAGCCCGATAGCAAAATCCACTAGCCCCGGCCTATCGGACACGACTTTCTTTGGAAATCTTTGCACGCTGCCAGTGCACTGGTGTATCATTGCAGTACCATGTACTGGTACTAGAAACGTTCATACTTCTGGTAATACAATGACACCATTATTGACTTAAGAATAAGAAAGGTTGAATGTCTTTCCAGCTCTTTTACTACTACAGCTGTTTGTGTCTGTTATAAAATGCTTGTGCATGGCTCTTTTACTAGAAATAACAAAGCTTTTTTTTTACATGTATTCCAACCAGCACTGGTTCAAAGGTTGATCACTACAGAGTAAGATACACTCATGACAATAAGCTTACTGTGGACGATGAAACCTTTTTTGAAAATCTCACAAAACTTGTACAGGTAGGTGATAATGTTGAAAAACAACATTCCTGAGTTACCAGTGGTACTTGGAGTACTGTATTCTTTCATCTTACAATTACCGTCAACGCAGCTGCCAATAAGCATGTACACCACATTTAGAAGCTCGAAGTTGTAAAGAAAATACTCTTCTGAAGAATTTGTTGCTGAGTCAGAAAAAAGTTCAGACTTTTTCCTTAACCCTTTAAGCCCCAATATCCACATACAAATTCTCCAAACTGATCTCTATACCTTTCCTTTAAGAATTAGTTAAGCTGTAAGAGAATTTGATAAAAGATCAAAGTATTTTCTCTTAGGTGATCATTTTATTAATTCTCATAACCTAATCTCATGATAATGTATAGATATCATTAGGAGAAAATTGCTGTTGGTCACTATTGGGACTTAAAGGGTTACTGAATGCACATGTACGTGTAGTTACTTGAGCAGAATGTATATCACCAGTGCCTACAACGACTCAGTGCTGCATCCTAAATGTGTTACTTAACTTGCTCATGCATCTTAAGCCCCAAATGCAAAAGGGCCCGAAAAGTGGTAATTATAGAAAAAAAAAAAATTATAGAAAATATCACAGAAAAAGGTGGAAGCTTTGCTCCACTGTCCATTTATATAGAAGCACATAAGTAAGAGAGAGAGATGCCATTTTTAATGTTGTTTCCTTTAATAGCATTATGAACACGATGAAGATGGTCTTTCTACAAGACTCGCGCATCCTTTACAAAAGCAAGGCAAATTTGATTTTTCTGTTGATCCCGAATCATTCAAAAAAGGTTTGTACATGTGATGTTAGCATCTTGCTGTTCATTTTGAGTCTGCAAATTATCCAATGTAACTCACTTTCTTTCTTCTTCTTCTCCACTCACAAAAGCAATTTAAACACTGGTGCAGGTGAAGTTTCAGCGGGCACAGAAAGTACTGTCCGATAGCCTAGGGCAAGTGGATTTTGCTATCGGGCTAGTGAATTTCTGTTTTTAACTTGCCCAACGAGCAAGTGATGTTTTTTGAGGAATTCGAATAACAGAAGTACTGTGAAATCAATTCTGCTAGTCAAAAAGTTTTGGGGGCTAGTTGAAATGACGTCTGGGCTAGTAAATTCTAGCTTTAGCTTGCCCAAATGGCAAGCTCTAAAAATGATTTTCTTTGCACCCTGAGTTTATAACCATTTCAGAATTCAATTTATTGGGTACTAGATGTTAGGATAATAGTAAAACCCCTTGACTAATTACCTAGATTTTAAGAACCTGTTAGGCTAAAATTTGCCAGTTAAGCCCCTTCTATATAAGAACCTGGATAGCCTAAAATTTGAAACAGGTTCTTATTTTCTAAAATCTATGAAAAAATTCTGCACACTTAGGCAATTAAGATAAATCAACAACCAGAATCCCCTTTGGAGACATAGGTGCCTTATCACTCCAACTGCAATTTAAGCGCCAATGTTTAAAAATAAAAAAAAATTGTTATTGATACGATTACAAATTAAACAAGTTCTTTTTTTAATGTTCATCTTTACATAACTTCTAATTTGGTATGCAGACAAGCTGAACCACCTGGAAGTACTTTTAGCTATATATGATTTTTGTTTTTTTTTTCTTCAGAAAATGAGAACCTATTTAAGAACCTAAAATAGCCTAAACTTGTGCTAACTACCATTTATATAAGAACCTGTGTAGGCCATTTTGGAAAAATCCTGGTTCTTAGTTGTGGGGTTTTACTGTGCTTCAACCTTACATTTGCACCAATAACGTTTTGAGGAATTTTCAACAATATTGAGTCTTCTTAATGAAGGATCCATTCACTTTTCTGGGGGCAGTTGTTACTCTAGCCTGTATGTTATGAGATGGGTCTTTGGTTCATTTCTCAAACATGCCTCTTGGTATGTCACTTGTCAGAATTTAATGCAAATAGCACTTTAAAAAAAATATCTGAATTGTCTTTCAGAGGGTTGGAGTATAAGACGTAGTGAATTACAGCTTGGGAAGTCCATTGGGAAGGGAGAGTTCGGAGGTGAGAATAATATTATAATTTGCTCTACTTTACTGAAAATCCCTTATTAAGAACAATGTGTGGTTCCAGAAAATATCCATACCCCCACCACGAAAGACTCTTTGATTTGCACCCCCCCCACACCCCAGGTTTTTCCGTTCCAGGGGTTCTTTGATGACCCCCCCCCCTCCCCCCAGGAATTTCCAGAATTTTTAAATGGGGACTTCGCTTACCACACTTTGGAAATTCAAAGTAGTTTGGGCACTTAAAAACACTAACTCAGTTATGAAAATACGGGAGAATTTTATTACAACAGTGCAGCGTAAACGTTTGTTAAGTTTATTACTCAGCCAAACTTTTAGCTTTTTCGCCATCACGTTTGCAAATTATGTCTGTGTTGTTTTTCTGTAAGCTTATAAATTAAGCTTAAACATTTGGTTTGCAAAGTTTAAACGTCGATTGTTCTACGTTTTTGTGTTTACTGTGACCTTAACGTTATGAAGAGAACGTAAGTTTCACCCGCTTAAACAACTTTGCAAACGGTAGCAAGAAAAACCCAGAAACTTACAAGGTTCCTGTCTGGCTGTTTATATTTCTACAGATTTTGTCAGTTTCTTCAGGTTGACTTTTATTTAAGGGCCGAAAACTTCACCAACATACTGTACATGCCAATGCGCTAGATTTCGTGAACGTCGTCACGATTGCAGAATTTACTAGCCAGGTAGCCGGGCCTTGTGAAGGTCGAGCGAGAAATGGGAACGAAAGTATTCTCATCGCATTTTTCATGAGTTTCCACCCACAATAAACACTGATAAAACATGAAACCTATCAAAAATGTGTGTCCTGCATGTCAAGGTAGCGAAAAGGGATACTCAGTGAACAGAAGTGAAAGTACTTTAATGTTGGTCGGACGAAAACGAGACGAAGACAAGACTCCAGTTATGTCCGCCATTTTCAATCGTTTTCGACTTCGTTCCAAAGACACATCGTTCTTCTGGAGATTGTAGTGCTAGCTAACTCAAAGAAAAACAGAAACATTAAAGCTAATGATGCTAACCTCATGTCAATGGCCAGGAGTACCGACTTCTTTTTCAAAACAACGTACGTAGGTATGTTTTTGTGCTTCAGATCGATCGTACGTTGCTTTCAATGTTTTGTACATGGTCTGTCACCCCTTGGAAAATAGTTTCCCATGAACCCCCCATACCCCTCGGAAATTACTGCCTTTGAACCCCCCCCCCCCCCCCCCCCCAATTTCCAATGGTCTTCCATGGGGGGGTATGGATATTTTCTGGAACCACACAATCACGTTATTTGTTTCAAACCATCATGTATTCATTCAAGAGCAAAAAACTTTAACTTTCAGGGGCCTTCAGGTTACCATGGCTGGCGGTCACTGCAGCCCAGCTATGAGCTAATCTCATGCAGGGCTTTCAGGGCACCCGTCGCAGTACTTTGTTCAAACAATGGGAAAAAAGGCTGGTTTGGGAGGGGAGGGGTAAAAAGTAAACTGCTGAATGTTCCAGACACTCTGCAGAAAATCTGTCTTGCTTGAATATCCTAAAATATGCTTCATACTGCTGTTATATGGGGTGGTCAGTGTCTGCACTACCATTCTCCTACTGTTGACTACCCTGACAACATGCAAGCTGCTCTTTGCTGTCAACTTAGTACATTCTGTAATTTATGTTGCATTTAAAAAGGAATACTTTCCTTCTGTTATCTCCAGATGTCCTTCAAGGTGTTTATAGGGGTCAGAAAGTGGCAGTTAAGTCGCTGCTGGATGACAGTCATGCTGCACAATCATTTCTAACTGAAGCTTCTATTATGACGTATGTTTGAATCTCACAATAGTTTACGTTTTATTGTTATTGTTAGTTGTGTTGAAATAGAAGCTATAGTCGGACTTAGTTTTGCATATATGATGACAGAGATAATTCGGATTTAATTTGTTCCTATGAGAAATTATATGGATAACAATTTTTTTTTTGTGCATTTTGAAATACCCATCTTTTCGACCCATCCTCTTCCTAGACCTGCAGGAAGGTGTGATTCTTGTAACTAGGTTAAGGTATTGTATCTTAAACAGAACATACTTGTAGGAATGTTACAATGTAATTTGGAAGATAATAACCGGTATCTCAATCAACAGGAACTTAAGCCATAAGAATCTGGTGAAATTACTTGGAGTGTCTTTGGATGGAAACCCAATTTACATTGTTACAGAATACTGTGGAAAGGTAAGCAAAATGACAAAAGTGTTATGCCTTTCTATACAAGTGACAGCTCATTTGCCAATAATAACTGAACAAGATAGTACATCAGATTTTCAGAAAGATAAACTTGGAGGTCATCTTTGGAAAATTTTTTAACCCTTTGAGTCCCAATGGTGACCAACATCAATTTTCTCCTAACGATATCCATACAATGTCAAGAGATAAGTTTATGAGAATTAATAAAATGAATGATCACCAAAGAGAAAATGCCTTGATCTTTTATCAAATCCTCTCAACTCATTCTTTAAGGAAATGTATAGAGATCAGTTTGGAGAATTTGTATGTGGATATTGGGGTTTAACAAAAATGAAATCCTTTTGATTACTGTTACTTGACTGTAAGTTTGTGAAATTCTCACACAAAACAAGAGAAGAGACACTTACATGTAGGAACTACATGTAGCTCATTCCATGTGCAACCTTTACAGTGCCTGTACATGTGTAAGTCTACTGAAGTTTGCTTGTTCTTTGTGGTAAGCTTAGGGCGGAAATACTTTTTCTTTTAAAATGGACTTTATTCAAACAAATCAGAAAGGTTGTCAGCCCTTCATTATATTGACTTTCAATTTCGCTAAGTACATAACCCTACAGATCTTCAACTTCAAAAAGATGGTCTTTCATGGTATTTGATCTGTCCAGTGATCATATCTGATTGCATTTGGGATTTTGTTGGATGTTGGGTATATTGTAGTTGGACATTGTCTAATGACTGACTGTTAGTTTTATCTCTGAAGCTTAGTTTTGGCTATGTATTTGCAGCAAGCAAATACAAAGGTCAGCTCTCAAATTACAACTTAAAATCCCCTCTTGAATCTTGTAATCTACAGTGCTATTTATTTTGATTGCAGCTTCCATTAATGTTCTTTCTTCTATCTGTTACTAGGGAAGCTTAGTAGAATATTTGAGAACCAGAGGAAGGACTGTCATTGGGCAAAAGGAACTTGTGGGATTTGCAAGGTAGGACTACATTAAAATTTGAGACTCTGATCATTGCAAAGATCTGACATTTTGGCCATGAAGTTTGCTTATCCAGAAGAAACAAGCTCTTGCTGTAAGTTTCGTCCCAGTGCTGATGCCGTTATCCCTGGTCCTTTTAGAGTCATCTGAGAAAAAGCGGCATCATCTTGTCGTGAAAGGGACCCCAAATATTAATTTAAATAAACAGCTAATTCCTGCATTAAAAAAAAGGTCATTTCATCTTGATCAGGAAAAAGATAATAGAATAATCTCACTACTTTTTGTAGAATCTCCCAATGTTTTTTTTTTTTTCATTAGTCTCCAGATTTTTCTTTATGAGGGTTTGGCAGATCTGTAGTGGGTAATGTACACTAGGAAAGTCCAGTCTGTCTGCCTCTAAGTAAACTACATGTAAGGGGACATTGTCAAAACTAAAAAGATCTACCAAAACATTTGGTACATTCTGGCGCTTTTATCAGGTGCAGTTTTCATGCCCTGCTATTTCAGACCATCAAGGTTCAAGAACCATACCCTTTGGCAGAGTACCTACCCACCCTCCTACCTACCTATCTGATTTGTGGTGTGACTGTTCAAATGAAACTTCTTCTGTCACTAAAATACGTGAACATGAGGTCATTTGATTTTCTTTGGTGGTCATTCCCTCTATTTTATGTTCTCTTTTTTTTTTAGCTTAAAAGCCAAATGTTTAGTTTTTGATTGATTTGTTTTTTTTGCCATAATTTAATTTTCTCAGGGATGTAGCAGCTGGAATGCAGTATCTAGAATCGAAGCATTTAGTTCACAGGTACATGATCCAGTACATTAGAGACATAAACAAGAAACATGTTATTTTGAAATTGACAAGATGATAATTAGAACATCGCTAACAGTAGAAACTATTGTCAAATCTTACATGTATAATTATTAGAATGATGACAGAACTCACCTCCTTTAATTTTATTATTCTGAAATGTTCTATTATGAATGAGAACACAAAGTCTTTTGTTATACTAAATAAATAATTATTGTAGGATTGACCTTGCTTTATCTTGCAATTAAGTGTACTTCTTGATAGGTGAGCTTTCTTTTGCCTAATTGCTAAAATCTGTCATATGATGTAAACATTTCCCTTTGTACCATAAGCGTCAGCTGTATACACATTTCTCACCGTTTGAACTTTTTGACTTTAGGGATTTGGCTGCCAGGAATGTCTTAGTACATGACGATGGAACAGCCAAGGTACCTGCAATAATAATTATATTATGTCATTATCTGACATACCTGCTTCAATTTACTCAAACTGCACTGATACCAAGTATACAATGAACCACATGATATTCTGAATGTAATAATTAAAATAGTTTCTACATTTATTAGCATCTAAGATAGTGAGAAATTTAAATCTCTGCTGCATCTCTTTTTGTAACCAAGCTTGTAACAATTTAAGGATGGCTTTTTCCATATTCTCTAGATGTTGTTTTCCAGGTTAAAATTTCTTTGCTTCAAAGTCAACTGTAACTGTTTTTATTAATGATAGGTGTCAGATTTTGGACTTGCAAGAGAAGCTAACTTCAACTTAGAAGGAGGAAAGTTTCCAATAAAGTGGACAGCCCCTGAAGCTATAAAACATAAAGTAGGTTTAATTGAATTGAATTACCGATAAACCAGGTGGTTCTTGTACACCTCATGTTTGTGAGTTGTAGTTTTGGGGCATTTTTCTTTTGCGCTTGTTTTTGTCGAATGCAGCTTTTATTCTATGCTTGATTTGCTCAGTAATGACAAACAACAGATAAAACCTCACAATGGAGATCATTAACGACTGATAACTAATAGGGTAACAAATTATTTAATTCACCTTGACATCTATAATGAAGATCTCCATGCAGATTGTCCAGTCATTTCATAACTACATTCATGAGTACAGGAATATGTTATGCAACGCGCGTATGATTGTTTGCAAAGAATACTTAAAAATGATTAGCACCAAAATTATAGTAATTGCTATAATTGTTTATTACTTCTAAAGTATTAACTTGATATCATATTATTATTATGAAGTTGATAAAGAGCATCAAAAAATTTTTGATGTACATTTGTAGGAAGCTGAGGATGAAAAAGTAGAGAAAATTAATGTAAAAATATCACAACTGCCATTCACATAATTTCTTTCACTCTATTTTTTTTGCATCCTCAGCAATTTTCTACACAGTCAGATGTTTGGAGTTATGGCATATTGTTGTGGGAGTTATTCTCATTTGGTAGAACACCATACCCTAGAGTGGTAAGTCATGCAGACTCATTTTGTGTGCTTGATAATGTGAAAGCGACATAACACATCATAGAGGAGGAAGCCTCTTCATCAAAATGTTAGAACAAGAATTTCCTCTGTCAATCTTTAGATTAATGCCATCTATCCAAAATGTAAAGACTGTGGAAATTAATTTATTTCACAGAACAAATTGAAACTTTTCTTGACGATTTGACAACATCACAGTATCTTTTCAAGATGAAAACCTCAGTCAGACAGATGACCATGCTGGCTCATGACAGGAGACTGAGCAATGAGGGTATGACCTCACAGCCTCATTGGCGGTTGAGAGCTGGGTGCATTCAGTGTATTTTGAGGGATTTCCTGATCTTCCTTGGAACTAAATAAGGTCACTCTCTTGCAAGAGGCAATGTGATGTTATGGAAGTTTCACTTTGTTCTTGTGGAGGAAATTCATTTTTGCCCCATGGATTCAGAAACCAACAATTTTTATGCACAATGTACAGACTGTGAGTGGGGACAAGCTCTCCAACTATGGCAAGTCGAGCAACCCACGAGAGAACAGTGAGGGGAGGCAGTGAGGGGTGGAGGAAAGGAGAGCTTGCAATGATCTCTTATAAATGTTCATTTCTGTTTTGCCCTGAAGAAGCAAACTACCAGTGGCTGAACAATGATGCACTGTCAATTTTTGCTAATTTTGATTTATGTATTTCCTGGCTTACCTGCCAAAAATTTTTGCAGTTTATTTTTGGCGTACTGGTTTTTCCTTACGGTTCAGTTTGGATATCAAGCTGGCAGATTATATAAACCAGCAAATGAGATCGCTGAGTAGGGGTTTCTAGGAAAACGTATTATGATAGTGTTTGTTGTGTTTGTGAGTTTCCCCACAATGAAATCATTATTAATTTTTCATATCCAAGAGCAGGCTCCTCACGGGGTCCAAAGAAACTCAGTTTTACAGCTTGCCATTTGGGCAAGCTGTAGCTTGCATGACTAGCCCAAAAGCTATTTCAAGTGGAGAGCTTGCTCGCAGGCTAGTAGTGATCTTTCGTAGACCTATGCAGCAAAGGAAAGGAAGAGGTTTCTAGCCAGAGTTAATATGTGATTTTTTTATGTAGATAGGTCATAGGGCAAGGCATTTGCTCCAAGAGGTGGTAGACGCCAAATTCACCAAGCTCCTTTCACTAATATTTGGATTATTATTTTTCAGCACATTGACAGTGTTATGGACAAGATTGAAGGAGGATATCGGATGGAATGTCCAGATGGCTGTCCTCAGCGAGTTTACAGTGTGATGAGAGAGTGCTGGGAAATTGATCCAAAGCAGAGACCATCCTTTAAGACAATATATTCAGAACTAGATCAAATCTACAGATCATTTCTACCGGTTGGTTAGCTAATTATTCAACAAGTGGAATACCATTGTTGTAACTGTTAGCAGTAGTTGATTCACTTCCCAAAACAACTTTAAGCATTTCATTGCTAGTCGATGTGACTACTATCTTTCACAATTGGCAGGCAANGAATGTCCAGATGGCTGTCCTCAGCGAGTTTACAGTGTGATGAGAGAGTGCTGGGAAATTGATCCAAAGCAGAGACCATCCTTTAAGACAATATATTCAGAACTAGATCAAATCTACAGATCATTTCTACCGGTTGGTTAGCTAATTATTCAACAAGTGGAATACCATTGTTGTAACTGTTAGCAGTAGTTGATTCACTTCCCAAAACAACTTTAAGCATTTCATTGCTAGTCGATGTGACTACTATCTTTCACAATTGGCAGGCAAGGTCTTCTTTTCCAGCAAAGTAGTCATAGGTTGAAGACAGGCGTGCAATGTAAAGTATAGATTTTATGTCAGACGTTTCCAATGTATTTAATTTTTTCTGAAGATATGTGAGGAAATGTCATGTTTTGATTATTTTGGTTTTATCCACTAGAATATTTTTGAAACATTAACCAAAATAATAGTAGTATTATATACTATATACTATTATGATATTATAATAGTATTAACTTGTTTTAGTCAGAGGAATTATTCAGTCAAAACCGGTAAGCATTTTTTCTATTTATCTTTCTAGTCAACATTTTTTTATTCAAAGACAAAGACAGTGTTTTAATATTTCAAAAGCAGTTGTTAGTTTGATGTTGGGTAATACTTATCAATATTTGATGCTGTTTTTTGTAATGACTCAAGTCCCTTCGAGGGTGGAAAGTGGATTCCCCATCTTTTTTTGTAAGCTATGTTCATTGGCAACAGACCAGACCAGCCTGAATTCAGATTTAAAGTCACTGTGAACAATGTTAATCTAAAACACAAATAGGATGTTCCATTTGTTTTTTGATCTCATTGTATGCGATACTACAATGTCATCAAATCATGTCTCCTTTCCCCTGCCCCATGCAACGGTTATGGTGCTCAAAAGCGATGCATCCTATCTGTGTGTTAGCCAAACAACATGGGAAGAGGGGAGGGGGGGAAATCATTCATTTAGTGACGGATTTTTAGTCAGGATAACAAGAAAAAATACATTAGATATTTTTCCAATTTGACCCAACCAGGTTTGTCTGAGGTTGAACCTCTCTGGGACTTGAGCACAAGAGGTGCATAGTAATGTTGTAACAAGCAAGTACCTACAGCTATAGTGAAGTGATTTGGGACAAATAAATTGTTGCAAATCACTGCAAGACTTCCTGCACACATGTAACATCCCTTTACCTCTTGTGCAAGACAACCCACATTTTAAGAGAGCTTTCTCGTGGGCTTATGTATAGATCACTTGCCGCAAAAGTGAAGGTCACAAACATATTACATGTAATTTTAACACGCGTATAAGACTCTAATGTCTAATTTTTCAAGAAGTAAAACTCAACCAGCGGAGCATCACTGGAAGCCTGATAAGTTTGATGCATCACATGATCTGATGATAGAATTTTGAAAAGTCAAAATTTGCATTGTGTTATTCTAACAAGTCAGGGGCGGATCCAGGATTTTTCTTAGGAGGGGGTGCCCACTAACTGACCGATGACGTAAAAGATTTTAAAAGCGAATACGAAGAAGAGGGCTTTTGATTAGGAAATAACATAATGTGAACTGCTGAGAATACATATCAAACGATAGAGCAGATTTTGTATGTCTGTCAAGCGACTGCACAGTGTTAATTAGAAAGCAGCCGCAGGTCATCCCGGGGGGGGTGCGCACCCCCTGCACCCTCCCCCTGGATCCGCCCCTGTTCTAACGAGTGCTATAACTTCAACGTGTGTTCCTCTCCCTACCTTTGGTGTTCCAGCGCTATCATGGTACTATGTATGTAGTGTATCTTGTTGACCTAACTATTGTTTGTGATACTTAAACTGCTTCTTAGGTAGTTTTCTAATTGATTAATCTTGTCATTTTATATTTATTTTTTGGTATATTTTGCTTTTCAGTTTTATTTTCTTTCTGATTTTCTTGTATTTTTGTGTTAATGTGTAAACACCCATTAAAAAGCCAGCATCCAAATTCTACATTGCAGGGTTGTCACTAAGATTTCAAGTTGCCGGGTAAATACAACAAGTAGGCAGGGAATCAAACGGCTAGGGATTTCTTTTGGTTCTATTTTTCTTCTATTTTCCTATGAAAGCAGCCGGGGGCCACATTCATAGTAGCCAGGGAAAATCCCCAGCCCCCGCCTCTTAATGACAGCCCTGACATTGTGCAAGTATTTTGTGAGAGGATAACAAGTTTCACTTTGAACATAAAAATCTTGATCTGAAAATTTACTTGCTTTCTTCAATGCTTTGCGTGTCCTTTAAGTTTTCCATAAGGTTTGTTACTACTGTGTCTCTCTTACTATTCTGTATTTACAGGATAATTTGTGTAAAAAAAATCAAGTTAGTCAGCAAACAAAACCAAACCAAAAATATCTCTTCCACATAACCCCCATACTGTTAATTCAAGAATTTGCAACAACTTGTTACATAAAAATGTTGCATTTTCTTTTATTGGTGATCCCCAATATGCTTGTATTTTATACCATTCAGATGAACCCAAAAAATATCCTTATTTTCGTAAGCCAAATTGTAAAATAAAATTTTGATAGGTTTCCAATTTTTTTAAGTAGCCTCTGCATTATTGTCATCATTATTTTCATGAAAAATCTACTGTTTTAGTCGCTGATGTAATTTTTGTTTGAAGTAATAATTGCCCCAATCTTTCCTGAATTACAAGAAGCAAACTTCAATCATATCTCTACTGCCTGAGTCACTAAATTAATTTTGGAGACAGGCGATTTGTCTCTCACAACTTTGTCTGTGGACGAAACCCTTTCAAATGAACACAACTGAAAAACTGAACCTTTTTACATTATCACTCAAAATTATGGCATCAGTTGATTAGTTTTTTTAACTTCTGAAATATCATGTTTTCATGTTCATTGATTAGGGTAATGGAAACTGATTTTGAAATTTTTTCTTCTCAAGTATCATTGTTTTATTCTTGTATGTAACTAGAGGAAAGGGGTAAATTATGCTTTTGACATCCAATTAGAGAATTAGTAGTAATCTGCGTAGCATTGTAGAATTGAATTACTGTTTCATAAGTTAGGGTCAAATTGCACGAATAAATCAAGTCAGAAGGCTTACGTTTCCTAACGAAGTTTTGTGTATCTATGTATCTTATACTAGGTTTTTGGAGAATTGAAATTATTGGTTTCCCACCCCATATGATGTAGACTCTTCCCATTTATTAAAGTCATGCCCAGATTGAATTTGTTGAAGGGGAAAAAATTTTTAAAGATGCTCTTTGTTTGAGTGTCAATGTATTTAGCACAAAAACGAAAGTGCTAATTGGGGACACTATATTAATGTGGGACGGGACCGCCATTTTATGTGGTCATCTGAGCCATGCAGGGCAAAGATAGTACCTTCATTTCTCACTTATTTTAAGACCCTCAGTATTGGTCCAACCCCGGGAATTGAACCCGCAACCTTCCCCTCTGCAGTCAAGCGCTCTACCGACTGAGCTAATCCTGCCACGATTTAAATTATATGCTTAGTCAAGCCTACAATTTTGTATGATTTGTTGCCTCCGGTGAATAAACATCCTTTGTTGCATCCTTTGAATATTAAAAAATGCCTCACCCCCGCCCCTGCCAGAACATGGAATTTGCAGATACAGTCAAAATTCCATGTGCGACCACCTCTGACAAGTAACCACCTGGCAAAAGAGAGCACGTCTTAAACACCTAAACTTTCCGAGTCAAAGCTTTACAGTTGGAACCACCACCACCTGTAAACGGCCACGACCACTTTTCAGGGCTGGCTGTTTAATAATTTTCTATTGTTTTTAACCACTTGTAAGCAACTTTTGACACATGGTACAATTTCTATGTTCGTGGCATGTACCATGCTACTTAGATGATACTAAGAACCTAAGTAACAATGTGGAACTCTACATAAAGTAATTTAGAAATTGGGTGTAATGAATTATTTTCCAAAAGTAGGTGTCTCTAGACATCTTGGAAGAGACCTCTTGTGGTTTAACCAATAAAACTTGTATTTTGGGTGGTCACTTATGGGAGGATTGACCGTACCTGGAAAATGATGACGAAGTGTAGTCTCATCCAGATAGACTGGTTGATGACTTTGATATGAAGTGCTTTACTTTGAACACTTTTTTCATCAAATTGACAAATCAACAGTTCTCTTATCCGCCATAGAAGTGACATCAAAATGTTCAAAACTCAAGTCAAAGAGAAGTGGAACCACTCAACCACAAGCTGCAAGCAAATGGTTTCACTGCACAAATTCACAGAAAACCATGTGCAAGGAAAAGAGAAAAGCAAGTTGTGCCATCATCCCATCATTTCCATGACCTATACTCTCATCAAACATAGCTCTCGACCATGTAATAATTAATAGCTGTGTTATTGTAAAAATGAACTTTAGCAAGCACTTAACTAAGGTGCACTTACAGTAATGAAAATATAAAGGAGTGTGGGAGGCTAGAGAGCAGAAACAAACAAACAAAAGTTCACAAAATTGAAATTCCTGACCTCTAGCTCCCTTGCTTGTGAGCAGCAAGCACTTAACTAAGGTGCACTTACAGTAATGAAAATATAAAGGAGTGTGGGAGGCTAGAGAGCAGAAACAAACAAACAAAAGTTCACAAAATTGAAATTCCTGACCTCTAGCTCCCTTGCTTGTGAGCGGAAAGATGGGGGTACTAAAGAAATTTTGGGATGGTAGGTGTCAATTGTGTACCACACTAAAGAAGGAGATTGCTTTTCTTGAATAAAGTACTGTAGAAGTACCCACCAATGGGAATCATCTGCAGTATGGACCAATGTAACATTGTAGAACAAGACCCTGTGCAAAGCAAAGCCTTGTTTCCTACACCATTTGCATGATAAAGTAAGGGAAGAACATGTCAACTTGTGAACTGCAGAGTTTGTTTAATAAGCACTGACTAAGCCTGGTCCAGGAAAACGAAAAAAATGTCATAGATTACAAAATTTATCGTAATTATTACCAATCAGCAACAACAAAATAATGCACTGCATTCCTTCTTGCATGGCAGAGGGAGTGGTTATCATCTTTAATTTGTGATAATTTGAAAAACAGGAAACAGAAAGAATTACAGTAATATCAACCTAACTACCATCCTCGGAGACCCAGGGGCAGTAAGTTAGGTCAGGAGAAAAAGCATGACGAAATTTTTTAAGCACTGGTGGACGACCATGCTTGAAACTTAAAAATTTGGTCTCCAAGGATGACTAAATACATGTACACAAACTTGAACACAAATTTGCCTTTCAATTTACAATATTATTTACTATTATTACTTTAATAAGGACTATATATGACATGAATGTTTACCTACTGTATCTAAGAAATGCATATTTGGGTGGTCTACTGGCATAATGATAGTGACTGCAATTACCAAGTTGGGGATACAAATAACAAGCAGAGGCAGAAAGAAACAATCATATTGACTTGACCATAACTGATGAAAAACCAAACTCTTCACCCTGGCACATCCCACTTCCTGTCAAAATTCTTAGCCCCTCTGGGAGTAAAGAATGTGCCTGTAAATCAGCCTAAGGACTCCAACCAAAGGATGGAGTCCAGCTCAGTCAAATTCTTTCACAAAATTACTTTGGTAGGCAGAATAACTAGAGTAGCAGGTGGCAAAGGCTTAAACTTCTGTGGTTTTGATTCAGTATTAGTGAGTTTGAGAAACAGGATGGCAGAAAGTAGAGGACAACAAAACGGTTGTGTGTAACAAATGTGACAGGGCTAATACTTGAATGTTTTGTCGTGATCTTCACTTAACATTGATGTTTTCTGGCCTTTTACAAAAAGGTCTCAGTGTTTAAAGGAAAATGAAGTTTAAGGCAAATTGTTTTTAAGCTACATTGTCACACTTGTCACACAAGGTTTTCCACCTTCTTTGCTCTCCTGTCCTGTTGTGTATGTTCACTATTATCAAATCTAAGGGTCCACTAGGCGGCAGTTATTCCATTGGAAGTGGCAGAATAATGCTGGCTGCCGGCTCATTTTGACTGGGTTAAAGGCATGTCTATCTTGCTTTTACAGGGAATGGATGACTGGAAAATGAATCAGCCAGTTACATCCCCGTCACTAGAAAGAATTGTCATACATATGTTTTTCAGGAGCTTGCTTATGAGCAAGATACAGAAATCCAATACTAGACAGTGCACTTATAAGGAATATAACATCAAACCAACGATGGTAAAAATTAAACTGCAGTTCACCCAGTACTTCTGTTATGATCTCCCGGTAGTTAGCAGGCATGTTCATCCTCATCAACAAAACCGAGGACACAAAGTACATCCCCATGATTTCTGCTAAAAACAAGACAATAATGTTGGAAGATTTGCTACTTGCCATGGCATTGAAAAACTTGGTCAAAGTGATAAGAAGACCTCGTATTGATGTCACAATTAAAATTCCTATTAAGAAGAATGAAATGTGTTGTGACCAGAATAGAACATCAAACTTCCATCCAAGGTAATTGACAGTTATTTCAATACCACGCGTGACAGGATCCGTTTTGCCAACACGGTCAAATACAATGTTCACTGTTGAGATAAAGATCTTCCAAATACAATAACCTGAAAATATATGCCCAAGAAAATCAAAGTATTTTCCTTGCAATGTCTTGGACAACTCTATTCTATCTTTCGTATTATGTAAATCCACAATTTCCAGGAATAACTGTCGGCTGAGTTCTTCCAAAGCATCTACTTCCTTTTGTAGATAACTTGTATCAGGAGTACCACTTCCTTTTAAGCCACTGAGCATGCTCCAGATTCCTGTGGAAAACAAAGTGAAAAACAAAATTAATGATGTTACATGCTGGCAGGTTGGGGGCAGGGGTTCTTCATAAGGTGCAAGGTGTAGTCAGCTGTCCTAAAAGATTAACTTTTGATGGACATGTTTTTGCCTCGAAAATTATTCCAAAAATACCCTTTTCAGCCTCTAACTACTGTCATAGGGAAATTAGGTTTTGAAAGACAAAATAATAGTTACCAAACAAATACTGGTACCCTTGTAACATTGAGTGAGGGTTATCTTGAGGGCTGATAGTTGAGTAAAGGGAGATGTAAAACGAGCTACAGTGGATCCTCTATATGGAGAACACCCTTGGGTCTAAAGCAAGTTCTCCCTGAATAAAGGCGTCCCCTGAATGGAGGTTGAAATAAAATTCTGCCTTGGAATCCACTGCAGTCTTTATTTCAAGAAGCTGTATAATGTATAAAAATCATGACTATCGCTATGATGTTGCATGTTGAATTCATGTTTTGAAGGCTGTCAACATTCTGACTAGTGAACACTTAAACTTATCAACAATTTTTGTGCATGTGATTAGTCACTAAGATATCCCATGGATGAATGGAGGTGAAACCCAGGTTTCGGGATCCCGAAAAGGTGTCCCTTTCCCCTGAATAGAGGCGTCCCTTCAATCGAGGTAGCAAATACAAAGATTACCAGAAAATTTTTACAGGACCAAATTTTGTGTCCTCTGAACGAAGGTGTCCCATGAACAGAGGTGACCCAAAGAAGAGGTTGCACTGTATTTTTTAAAATACATACCTGTCTTCTGTTGTGTTGCTGCAGCAAATCTTTCACTCTCCCGCTTTGCAAGTGCTATTCTCTTTTTCTTACTAAGAATAATATCCATTGTTTGGAATTGTCTCTTTTCAAGATTATGAATATCAGCATCAGTAACATGTCTCATAAAATACGTCATGTAAGTGTAGGGACAGTTCACTGCTCCAAATCCAGATAATATAGCCATCATTGTGACGCCTATAACACCCACCCGGCTGATCCCTTGTTCGATTGAAAAGATTCCATGTTTGGAACTTAAAATCGGAAAGGGATTCCCGATTTTCCAAAACATATACAAGAAGGCAATCCAAAAGAAACCAGCCAACAAACCTATGGTGGACCTGCGGTGGACGAATCGCAATGTTTTGACCAAGAAATAAGATATGTAGTACGGAAGGAGAAATATTAGAGTAAACAGCATGGAATAAAGTCCAAGTTTCCAGTGAAAGAATCGAGAACTCTTGTCTAAAACTCCCAAAATTTCGAAAATGACCAGCTCGAACATGGTGCAAGAAAGTGAAAAGGTCACGGAGAATACTAACTGAACCGCCACGTGGTGAACTTCATAGTTCCTAAATAGTCTTCTCATAAAAAATATCCACCCCATTCCAAAGAAGAAGAATTGTGAGCAGAAAACAACGGAACAATCTGCAAAAAACGACATTTTCCTGCCACGTCTGATTGAGAACACGATCCTGAAACGACAAGTAACGAACAATGAACGAAGTCGTTACGAAGTTAAACCGAGCATTCAACGCTGAGTGTTCACTGAGTGACGTAATGACAAATAATTCCTGAATATCAATTTGGCCAATCAGATCGAAGAGTGGGGATTTCAAATGCGATGTCCCAGCACGCGTTGTTCAAAGACGAACAGATCATCGAAAGAAGAATCACTGCGGTTCAATTCTTCATTGAAGTTAGAAGATTCCACTGCGTTCGTCTACATTTTAATTTTTATCAAGCCTATTTCGAAGAACAGTGTACATTTCTAACTGGTAAACTCATTATGGCAGCTGTTGGAAGATTAGGAAACGTAAGTCTTGCTGTAAAACGTACACCGTGTTGACTGTTGTTGAGATAAGAAAGTTCGAGCCTAAGAAGAAGTTCTTGCTAAGAGAAAGAGTTGTTCTTACGTTCTAAATGTCTGTTGTTTGATACAGGTTATTCACCAGGACCAGGAGAACGAACATTTGTTGGCTGGCAAAGCGAAGTTTGCAAAGAACGCGAGACCTCGTGCTGCTCTAGGCGACCTAGCAAACAAGCCTACAGCTTTCGCGAACAAGGTAAGGCTAACTGTGGAGGCTTAGTTTATAAATTTGTATGGAAACCTCCATCAAGCTTGCGCTTATATTTCGAATTCAACGTTCGACTTTAAAATACGATGATTTTACCTGTTTTTTAACTAAAATTTCTTTGCTTTTAGGGCGCTGCCATCAAACCCAGAAAACCTTTACACAGATCAGATGCGAGCACTGCCTTGGTTTCCAAGCAAGCGAAGGAAAATGACGCTAAAAGCAAACAAAAAGCAATCGACGTGGACGTCCTAGGAGAAGCGCTGGAGTCGTGTGTAATCTCTAAACCTCCAAATGTCGAAGATATTGATAAAGACGACCACGGAAACCCGCAATTATGTGCTGAATACGTGCAAGACATTTACAACTACATGCGCAAACTTGAGGTGAGGACGATGGGAATTTTGCCGCTAGCTTTAAAGTTTTCAATAAGCTTATAGACAAACGTCGCTATTAATTTTGCTGTGCTTCCGCTTACTGTAGAGCCCATAGCAAATGCAATACCACCAGTGTATTGTAATCTTCTATATTTTCGCTACGAACTTGTGTACTCACTTTAATTATTTATTTTTTTACAGAACGAATTTCACGTCTCGCCAACCTACATGAGCCAGAGAACAGTAATCAATGAGAGAATGAGAGCTATCCTTGTTGACTGGCTAGTGCAGGTGCATCTACGTTTTCGCCTTTTACAGGAAACTCTCTACACCACAATCTCCATCCTGGATAGATTTCTTTCTGTAAGTAGTGTTCATGGTTTTGTCTCAGTCTGAAGTCTTTTAATGCTATAAACAAAAATGAAGGAACATCATTATTCATAACTGTTCACCCTGAAGTGGGTTGTTGCTTGTCCACAACCTATTCAAATTTCGATGAAAGAAATTGTAGAAACCAAAGATTGAAATTGGCTTAGCTTGGTCTGGAAAGCTTTAGGGACAGCTCCTCGCAAAAAGGAGGAGGAGTATTTTTGTGGACAATCCCCTTTTTGTATATCCTGCAATAAATCTAAACTGTTTGTGCTTTTGGCTCGTTAAGTTTCAAGGTTTTAATACCACGTGAGTTCATGGGTAGCCTGCAAGAGCACTCTCCATTTTGCAAAAAAGACTTGGTTGGTAACTGGTCAAGTTGCCCAAAAGTCATCTCTCCTCAAACCAGAATTCAGTTGCCCAAAATGCCGTGATAATGCTCGGATGTTATCCGGTGAAGTGCACAGGGATGTAAAGAGTGCACGTGTAATGTATCTTGTTTTTAAAACCATCATGAGATGAAACAAGCAGACTATATGTGTTACATACCTTGTCGATGATGAGATGAAACACATTAAGCCAGCGTGTAATATATCTCATTCTTTCTTAAACCCTTGATGAACAAAGAAACAAGCACAAGTAATGTGTAGTAGGATGCTAGGATGTTGTTGAGTGTGATTAAATTTTGAGCCACAAAACTCAGCAGGTGAGATGACTTTTGGCTGACTATACCCGTAAACCACTTGGCTAACTCCAGGGTACAGTACATCTACTTTCCACTTACCATATATGGAAAAACTGGAAATGTCTCATTGTAATGGTCCCACTCCACTCATTTAGAAAGTTTCAACCAGTAAATGTGGGATGAGGTGATGCATTTGTTCACTCGTGTTAGTAGTCACTTCAGCTGATTTGGTTACACCCTAAAGCACATCCTTCTCACACCCTGAAGTTCAAATCAGGACCTGGCTCCTGGTCAGCTTTAAATTGTTGAGTGCTTAGTCACAGAATGTCCAACCTGATGGTTTGTGTAATGTATAGCAGGGTTGCCTCTAAGATTTCAAGTTGCCGGGTAAATACGACAAGCAGGTGGGCTTGAGGTGGGGAATCAAACAGCTGGGGATTTCTTTTGTTCTAGTTTTCCTCTATTTTCCAATAGAAGTAGCCGGGGGCCACACTCATAGTAGCCAGGGGAAATCCTGCCCCTGACCCTTAATGACAGCCATGTGTATAGGCACTCAAATTGCTTAAATGGGCCCTTTGTAGCTTTGCTTAGCTCCCATTAATCATGCATTTGATTGTATATATGGAGAGACTTGAATGTTATAAACTTTTAAATTATTATAATTTTATTAATAACTATTATACTATAATTATTTTATCTATTAATTTCAAGTTGTTTTCTTGCATGCAGGTTTATGACTGCAGTAAGGCAGATCTTCAGCTCGTTGGTGTCAGTGCCATGCTTTTAGCCTCCAAATATGAGGAGATGTATGCACCAGAAATTGGTGACTTCGTCTACATCACAGACAATACATACAGCAAAGCTGAGATCAGAAAGATGGAAGCCAAAATTTTCAAGACTCTTAACTTCAGTGTAGGAAAACCTCTTTGCCTTCATTTTTTGAGGCGAAATTCTAAAGCTGGAGAGGTATGGTGTTAAAAAATACTTTCTAGGGTAGTGAAATTATGATAAGCACTGGACAATAAACACAATTTTATTAAATATGATCATAAATATCGTCATTAAGTGTCAAACAGTGTTCCCATGGTCCACTAGGGAAATGCAATCTATTTGAAATAGCGGGCTGAAAGAAGTTTGCAGAAGGCCAGGAAAGGTTCTATTTCCCTTGGAAAGTCAGAGAATTATTTTTATTGTCAGGCAACTACAGATTTTGTGAAACTTGAGTCTATAAATAAACATTATTTGGAAAAATTGAGTTAATTAGTTGTAGGAATTCACAATTTATAGCTTATAAAATGGCTGAAAGTTTTGCCTGTATATCCTTTTTAGGTTAATGCAACAAAGCACACCTTGGCAAAATATTTCATGGAACTAACCCTCATTGATTATTCATGCGTTAAGTTCCTGCCTTCTGAGATTGCTGCAGCATCGCTGTATCTCGCAATGAAAGTGGATGGTGATTTTGAGTGGACTCCAACCTTGGAATACTACAGTTCATACTCTAAAAGTAAACTTCTGCCTTGTGCCAGACAAATTGCTCTTCTTATCACAAAGACTCTGGATGGAACTGCCAAACAAGTGGTTAGTGACTTTTTGCGTGTACAGAAGACCATGAATGACTCTTGTTATTAATAGCACTTTCATGTAGTTCAATCTATTTTCACTTCATACAATGTAAACACAAAAGCAGTGGGAAAGACAGGAAACGTACAAGCTGATCCACCCAATTTAAAAATAACCTACAATGTATATACTTACCTTGTTACCATAAACTGGTTATCCTGAGGGAGTTGAACTCTTTTTGTATGCAAACATTAATTTTTGAAAAGTTATTAAAAATTTACAAGAGTAGGTAAAACTGAAGGTGTTAGGGTTAGAATTTGAAAACCTTTAGTCACACCTGCACACCTTCTCAAACTAAACCCTTCACTTGTTTCAATGAATAAACATAGTTGCTTGTCAAGTGAGTGAAGAATAATGCTCTTTTTATTCTTCATTCAAAGGTGGGGGATATGATACTGATTGACAACTTAATTCTAATTTTTACAATTTTGTTTGCAGGCTGTCTACAACAAGTACTCAAGCAGCAAGTTTATGAGCATCAGCACACTGCCTTGCCTTCGTTCATCATTTATTACTAATCTTGCTTCTGAAGCATAGATCGATCAGAATCACATATGTTCAATGTTGAGTAGGATCAATTCAATGAACTTTCTTCAAGCTCTTTGTTCTCATAGAGGGAACTTGGCAAAGTCTGAGAATTGTACATGCTGAAATTACCAAGAGATACAGTGTACACTTGGCATTCATTAAGAATCAAAAGGTAGAGCCACTGTTTGTAAATATTATGCCAACCTTTCTTCCATGCTTTTTCTGTCTTACCTAATTTAAACACTGCACTGTGTGCATGCAGTATTAAAATGCCATGCTAACAGAAGAGACTGCATCTGAGTGGCCAGAAATGTATTTGGGAAAGCGTTGTAGGTGATAGCCAATTTTTTTATGATTTATGCTATAGTTGTTAGTGTTATAGTATATTGCTTATTTTCATTTCAAATATTTCTGTAAATTATGTACATATTTTCAAAGTAAAATAAACATCTTTTTAGTAA